GGATTTGGTAATTTCTGTAGAATATTTGCTGAGAAGCAGATAAAAGAATCAGGTTGGCGCTCTCCTCCCACCCCCCAATCCCGTTACATCTTTTTGGATCATTTGAATTGTATATGGCTTTCTATTTAAGTCAGTCACTTGCTGGCAGCAAAACTAGAACATTTCCTGTTTTTCCTCTCACTGTAATCAGGATTTGGCTGTCCAAATTAGGGCTGCCCTAATTACAGCTCAGCAGGTGCCAATCCTGGGGAGGGCAATAAATAGGGAGAGAGGAAGTGAGAAAGGACACTCAGCTTTTTCATACTCATCGAAAAGGAAAACACTTTCTCCCTTGCTGGTAAGATTTGATTAGGTAACAAGCTATACGCACCAGGGTATGTGTGCATTGTTGTATAACAATCATAAAATAATTTCCTATTTATTCATCTCCAAGGCTTTTCAAGAGTCACTTCATCCATCTCTAAAATGTCTCTCTGTTTGTATGCATGCACGCATGTACATGTATACATACATACATATACATATATGTGTAAGTATACACACACACCACTGACGTCATTCAAGGACTTTAGTGTACAAAAGCTGAGTGGAGAATACCACATCTACTAGAGGGATGGGAAGAAACAGGCAGGTAGCATCAAGGGCTACCACTTCCATTGGCATTTACATGGAATGATAGGACAGGTAGCCATTGTCTTGGGAAGAAATCCTTGGAGATCTCTTAGAAGCCAATCAGTCAAAAAACATTTATTAAGTGCCTACTATGTGCCAAGCTCTGTACTAAGTGCTAGAGATATAGAAAGAGGCAAAAGACAGTCTCTTCTCTCAAAGAACTCATAAACTAAAAGGGGAGACAACAAGCAAATATATATATATGAACAAGATATATACAAGACAAATAAGAAATAATTAAAAGAGGGAAGGCACTAGAATTAAGAGGGGTTGGGAAAGGCTTCCTATAGAAAGTGGGATTTCAGTTGGAACTTGAAGGAAGCCAGGAAGTGGAGATGAGGAAGGAGAGCACTGAAGCCATGGTGCACAGCCAGGGTAAAAGCCTGGGGTTGGGAGATGGAGTACCATACTTTGTAGGAGGAACAGCCAAGAGGCCAGGTCACTGGATTGAAGAGAACATGGCAGGGAGCGCAGTGTAGAAAGACTGGAAAGGTAAAAGGGGCAGGTTATGAAGGGCTTTGACTACCAACCAGAGTATTTTGTATTTGATTCTGGAGGTGATGGGGAGCGACTGTGTTTACTGAATAAGGGAGATGACCTGGCTAGGTGTGTGCTTTAGGAAAATCACTTTGGTGGCTGAATGGAGGATGGAGTGGAGAGAGGAGAGACTTGAGGCAGGCTGACCCATCAGCAGGCTACTGCAATAGTCCTGACACCAGGTGATGAGGGCCTGTACCAGCGCACTGGGTGGAAACTACAAAGAAGCAAATTTAGGCTTGATGTCAGGAAAAACTTGCTAACAATCAGGGCAGTTCCAAAGGAGAAGAGACTGGATGAGCATCTGTTGGGTACATTATTGTGGGGATTCCTTTGAGGACTGGGTGGAGTAGATCATTGCTGAAGTTCCTTCCAACTCGTGGATTTTGTGATTCTGTTATAGGGAATCAGTCAAGTTCCTTGACTAGATGGTTAGACATGAGCTTTAGGGACAATTCTCTGGCAGTGAGGCATGGGATGGATTAGAGTGAGGAGAAATTAGAATCGAGGTGACCAGTTAGGAAACTATTGTAGGAATCCATTTGGCAGGTGAAGAATATGACGGCTGGGACCCTGTATGAGTAGAGAGAACTCAAGGGGGTAGAATATACTTTGCTTCCTCTAATAAAAATTTTAGAATAAAAGATACCTTTTGTTTACATGGGTGATGAAAGAGGGAGAAAGTAACTGTTCAAGGTTTGTTAGCAGTCTTCATTAAGGCATCAGGGTAGAGAAGGAATTTAAGAAAATCAAACCTGATTACTGAGAACAAATTCTCTAAAAATTGGTCTTTATAAGGGAAATGGTCCTTCTTTCCACTTATTTTTTTTTGAGGCACTCCTCTGAGACCTGTCAGTGAAGACTAATAACAAGTCATTTTCTTTTTCTCTTCTGGCTTAAATAATGTTGACAAATGAATGTCTTCTATAGGTTAGAGCAGTGCTGTAAACGAGGCCAAGGTCACAAACTTAATTTTGAGGCCCGCTTTCTTTCTTTTTCTGATTCTGTTTCACATCTACAGAATACACCTGTAGGTCTAGCCACTTTTGTGTATTTGAATCTAGGAGAGAACTCTTAAGACAATAAAGTCAGATCACTGTAAGTACATCTGTACTGCAAGAAAATCCAATTCAATAAACATTTATTAAGCACCTCCTATGTGCCTGGTCTACACTGGGGATACACTTTATAAAAAGGAAGACAGTCCCTGACCTGAAGGTGCTTACAATCTAATAGGGGGAGACAATACACAAAAGAAGACAGGAAAGTGGTGAGAGGATTGAGGGAGAACAGTAGTGGGTACCGGGGCAAAATCTTGTTCCATGGAGTTGAAACCAAGTAGGGCAGCAGATGCAAAGAGGAGTGAGCTGACAGTTCAGTCTCTGCCCTCTATAAAGGAAAGCAAAGGGAATAGTTTGGTATTTCCCCCTCCAATCAGAGTAGAGACAAAGTTGAGGAAGGTGGTATCAATTTAGGCTTGAGTTAGCAGCATGGTCATGAGAAAATCAGTTCAAAGCACATTGTTTACTTAAGGAGAAGTGTGGACAGAGGCAATGTCATTAACATCATCTTCTTTGACAATGGAAGACATGGTTATTAGTAGATGATCCTCTTTCCATAAAGAGTAGCTTAGACTTTTACAACAGCCTATCTAGATCTAAACCATAACCTTATATGACTCCACCACCCTCCTTGTTCACATGCTCCTAATTCTGAGTCTTCAATCATTCTTATTCTTGCAATTTCTTCTAATTACCCATAACTTTCCTCTTCTCTCTTCACCTAACTATAGCTTAGCTTTTTGCATCTCCTGTATGAACCTTTCCTTAAGTCTTGAAACATTTGTTCATGGACTGCTGTGGACCAGAAGTGCAATTTAAGAAATGTAAATAAGGACATGGGGAACTCATTCAATCAGTGCTTTTGCTCTTAATTATTACTCAATAACTATCCAACTGGTTTTGTTTAAGAGATTTATTATTCTTTTTTTTTTCATAGCATTTATCAGAATTGCCTCTTTCTCTCTATCCTCGTCATCTCACAACCTGGATTATGGCAACTATTTCCTAAGTGACCTCTTTTCCCCAACCTCTCTCCACTACAATCCATTCTACAACCCATGTTCACTATAGCACTCCCTGCCTTCCACAAAAATTCTAGAATCTTACCCTGGAGGCCAAGGTCATAACTGACTCCACCTTACGTATCCAACCCCTGCTTGAACCATAAACTCTCATTTCTCTTGACGGTCTCCACCACCCTCCTTGTTCACATGCTCCTAATTCTGAGTCTTCAATCATTCTTATTCTTGCAATTTCTTCTAACTACCCAAAACTTTCCTCTTGTCTCTTCACCTAACTATAGCTTAGCTTTTTACATCTCCTGTATGAACCTTTCCTTAAGTCTTGAAACCAATACTGACCTCATTCCTTTTTCATTAAGTTGCTATACTGCTCCAGTGGCCCCTCACGAATGTATAAGGCATTATTCTTTATTAAGTCAGGGACCACGCTTTGCCTTCCACCTTCTTTGTATTCCCTATGATGCTTACCACAATGCCAGGCACATAACACACTCTCGATGATGGGCATGGCAGGTACTTAATACTACCTTCCAGAATTAGCAAGAGTCTTAGGACATTGCTGTGATTCATGTTATATCTGAACTTAGAAACTCTCCAGACAACTGACCTACAGAAGACTTTTCTCCCACTTGTTCCTTTTATAGATTCTTCAGGAGAAGCACTGTGATCTCCCCTACAAACATATTATCTCAGAGAAAAGAAGGCTGAAAAATTATTTAATAAATTTTCCATATTCTCTATAGTGTCAACAAAAGGAAATGGACTTAAAATCATAGAACATCAGAGTGGGAAGGCACTTTAGTCATCATCTAGTCTCAGGCTTCTTAACCTAGGGGCCATGAATGTAAAAAAAAAATTGATGACTCTATTTCAATATAATTGTTTTCCCTTGTGATCCCATGTGTTTTATTTTACAGACTTAAAAACATGATTATTAAAAAGGGTTTATAGACTTCGCCAGAATGTCCAAGGGGTCCACAGCCCAAAAAAAGATTAAGAACCCCTGATATAGTCCAATTCATACACAAGAAGAAATTCTACTGATAGTAACTCTGGCAAGTAGTCATCCTGTCTTCACTGAAAGTATCACTGCCAGTGACAGAAAAGTCCCAGACATAGCCAGACCAATCCAGCTCTACTGATGAAAAGGTATTTTCTTTTATCGAATCCAAATCTGTCTCCTTCTATTAGCTTCAGGGCCAGCAAAAGATGCAGATGAAAAAGAACTTCCTAACTGAGAGGAATGAAAAGAACTAAGGAAGGTTAGTAAGGGCGTTTGTGAATTCACCTGCTTTCCATGGTGCTCATTAACAAGAGGCAGAAGGCTGGGGACTATATGAATGCTGTAGGTCCCTTCCAGACTAAAGATTCCATGAGGCCTACTATGGCTGATTTAAGCCACTCAGAAGGAATCACAAGAAACTTCAGTCATATCTCATATCTTTCATCTTTTGGTGAGTGGACTGAGGGCTACAGGGTTAGGTTTTGTGAATATTCTTATATGTATATATATATATATATATATATATTATATATATGTATGTATGTATATATGTACATACACATACTTTTCAGATTTCTGACAAACTTGGGGCTGCACATTTTGCTGCACGGCCATGAATAAGAAAGATTATAATCTCTTCACAAGTGAACAATGAACTATGTGTCTCTGAAGTGAAGTGTTCTTCTCCTAAAAGTAGTTTTCTACCTGTAGGCAACTGTGCAGGTGTCCTTGTACTCCTGGAGCTTAACACACACCATGTTGAGGAACTGATCGGAGTATGCACTGAGGTCATGCATCAGGTTCATGAGGTCTTGCACGGTCTTCTCCACAATTATTGTGCTCTGGAAAAGGAAATGCAGACAGAACAGAAGGTTGTGAGATCTTCACTCAAGGGATGAGATAGCGGGAAACAGAAATAACACAGTAACTTAATGTTGATATTACCCGAAGTGGGAAAGACAACAGAAGAATGGTTATCAGAGTCAGCAGCGATGTCTCACCCAGGGCTGCTCTTTCAAGGACTTTGGAACACTTACATGTTGCATACTTAATCCTTAAAGTTTCAAATTGTGCTGCTCAGCTTCAATAAGACACTTCCGTGGGTTTTTGAGGATGTGCCTAATTTGAATCAACTAGATCACCTCATTGATCTGCTGCAAAGATCAGAGATCCAGACCAGGACAAAAAGGACAACACAGAAGGATTCTACAACCTTTGAAAGCTTGAAAATCACTGATCTAAGGAAAAGATGAATTGCTTGGGAGCCAGCCAAAGTAGATTTATGTTCAGAAGCATCAATTTCTGTTTGTGCAAGGAACTATGGGAAACATACTTTATTGTTTATATAGTAAAATTCCAAAGGTATAAAATGAGGAAAATATTTCCTGGCTATTCCTTATTTCCCAAGGATATTGAAACAATATGCTACATAAGAAGTGCTTTGAATTCCTAAGAAGAAAAGAACTACATAAATGCAAGGCTTTGTTACTGTTGTAAAAGCAGGAATAGTATCACTTTAAATTAATGGAGAGTTTTTAAAGGACTTTTTAGAGCTTTCACACCTGTTGCCTTCACAATAGTTCTATGGGGAAGATAGTACAGGTATTCTCTCCATTTCATAAATGAGGAAAATAAGGCACAGAATTTAAGACACAGATTTATCCATGGTCTATCAGGTAAGAGCAAAATTAATCAATCAATCAATAAGCATTTATTAATTGCTTACTCTGTGCCAGGCACTGTCCTAGGCACTAAGGACACAAAGATCTCCCATCCCTCGCCCCCCCCCACCAAATTCCTACTCTCAAGGAGCTTCTATTTTACCAGGGGATATTAAAACCAGAAATTTGTTCTGACTTTAAAACACACCCTTTTTCATTTGACCACATCATTTCTTTTGGGAATTTTGTCTGTTTTAAAAATGGAGGATATAAACCCCAAAAGAAGAAAAAAATATTATACACATTTTACCCACAGGTACGTAACAAGTTGATGTCAGACCTGAAAAAAGACACTCTTGTGCAATATTCATCAGAATGTAAACTTGAAGATTGCCCATTGGCAGCATTTAACCTCCTCATTTGCACTATTTTCTGAGCACTTACGCCTCAGACTCATACAACTGATTCCTGTGATCTTCCACCTCGGTGAAATACTAGCGTCATGCTCAACAGTCTGGACTCCTTCATTCAACAGTTGTGTTATACAGCACATATGTACAATACATGTAGAGAGGTCACGGTAAAAGATAAAATGATTTCTAAAGTGCTAGTTTGAGGCTGACCCATGAGGGAATTTTTAAATTAAATAAATAGCTCAGTGTGAAAAGCTCAATCATCAGAAATGGCCAAATCTACATTGAAATTAGATTGTTTTTATCTGAACATAATTAATCCAATGAGTTGGGAAATCTAAAAAAAAGTCCTACTCCAAGGGCTCATGGTGATAAGTGACCTGGGGTTCTGGAAGAATGAGTTAACAGAGCACAAACTTCTTCAAACTGGAGAGCCTTCGGATATGGGATGGTGCAAGACTATGTGTCTGTTGTCCCAAGACCAACCTAGCCAAGTGCAGAGAAACTCGTCACTAGCAACTTGTCTACCAGGCCTTGTCCAGATGAACAGATGACACATGAAACGAACAGAAACACAAAACGGTTCTCAATCTTCCATGCTTCCCTTCTGTTGCTATAATGATGGTGATGGAGTGGCAGGATGGGGAACAAGAGTGCTAAAGATTCGTGTAGTTCATGCAACATCTGTAAACACTAATATAATTCTTGTCATTCAACGAGCTATCCTTGTTTAATATTACTCAAAGAAGAAAACCACATTCACACTGATGTTCTAACAATAAGTGAAATCGAAAGAGAGAAGTTCCAAGTAAATGGAAGACTGACTTGGGGTTGAACAGCAAGGCCAATAGAGGAGTTTCCAGAGACAGCAAGAAATAACATTCAGTTGGTTATTTCAGCTCTTTTACCTTTCAATACTCAGGGTAAGCATAAGTAAACAAGCTACCCATGATGATAACTGCATTGGAGAAAATGAAACAGAGAAATTCCATGAAAACTTAACAAGATACTTTAAACTAAGTTACCCTGCACATTGATACTCAGTGTCTTCAATGCAAAAGTGAGCACTGGGGAAGACGGCAAAAAATTATGTGTGTGGATATACTTCCTGGGTTGAAGCAGAAACTGTACTAAGGAGACATGGATTAAACATTCTAGGTAATGTCACTGGTTAGAACGGAATGAGATACTGAAATGACCTTTGGAATTGGAGCATTTTGTGGCCAAGATAAGCTGTGACTAGAAGAGGCAGAATGACTTTGGAGACAGAGTACTGCATGTTTTAGATTCAAATGCTCCCTTAGACACTCACTGGCTAAGTCACTTAACCTTTTTCTATACCTTAGTTCTTCAGCTCTGAAATAAGGGTATTGGACAAGATGGCCTCTAAGATCACTTCCAAGATCACTTCCAAGTCTACATCTATGATCCTATTAAAATTGATAAAGATAGAGCCTGGACCTGTGATTTCGTTAGTATAGGAAACTTTAAGGTAAAGAAACTTCCTCTATGAGTACAAGCTAGCACCTGAGAGAGTTACTTAACCACTGAGGAATTAAGTGGCTTGCTTAGGCAGTTTGGATCAAAGGCAGTATTTGAACCCAGGTCATCCTGGTTTCGAGGTTAGCTCTCTGTCCAGTATGTTACATTGCCCGACCCACTAAAGAAAGATGAACAGTAAAATGAGTGACTAGAATATGGGATAGTGTGTGGGGTGAGACTGCAGTGAGAGAATTCACTCCACTGACCAGTCAATATTTGAAGGGGGAGGGAGAACTTGTTTCAGTGGTCCCTTGGTGCCTGCAGGGCATCCATACCTGTGCTACTGGGAGAGAAAAGTATGTGTGGGTTGGTAGGCAAGGGATGTTATGCTGAGGGCACAGGGAAAGTTTTGTGGAATACAGAAGGGAACCACAACTTTAGGAGTTAAAGGAAATAGGGTCTGTTCTGCGTCTATAAATGGTTTCTGCTCTGGGCTAGCTAAAAAGAGCACAAGGACCTCTGGGTTCACAGTGGGAGTGAACAGTAAAACTGGACTCAGCAGGAATTGAGTCTAGGAGTTTGTCTATGTCTCAGGATAGTGCATAATTGGCCATATGATGGCCCAGCTGCAGTATGTCTGGTTTAACATTATGCTGGGAATAAAAGTGATTTGAAACCAAGAAATGAAAGAGGCCAAAGGCTTGTAGACTACTGAGAAGCCATACGCTGCACAACATGAAAAACTTCTTTAAGAAGAGTCAAAAAGCAATGGCCAGTCCTGAATGACATCATTTTAAAAAAGAAACTGACTATATCTTAACAGACAGGGGAAAAAAAACATTTAAAGATGTGGAAGTTATTTGGAATTCATTCTTTGTATGCTGTCAAATGATTGGTTAGAGTAAAGGTCAAACTAAATGCCAAGTGTGTGATAACAGAAGCTTTAACCTATACTTTGTTTAAAATTTTACCTGTTCTTTTTTTTTCATTTCCTTCATTTCCCAATGTATCCCCTTCCCCTTCCCCTCACAGAGAGCCATCTCTTATAATAAAGAATTTTTTTAAAAAGGAAAAAAATCTATATGCAGAGTTCCACCATGTCATATTACTACAAAGAACTGAGGGGATAGCTCATTTTGGGGACCAAGCTTGGTCATTATAATTTCTCAGTTTTCTGTTAGGAATGTTTTGTGATTACATTGCCGCGGACATTGTGAATATTATTTTCCTGGTTTTGTTAAAGCTTTACTTTAAGGGTTCCCACATTTACCTGTATTCATTACGTTAAATGTTTCTTACAGCACAGTAGTATTCCATTAGATTCATGTACTCAATTTGTTTAATCATACCCTTATTAATGGGCATCTTTGCTTTCAGTTCATCACCACCATAAAGTGCTGCTATAAATATTTCGGCTTAAATGGGACCTCTCTTTTTGTCACTGATCCCCTTGAGGTGTATGCCTATTGGAGGTATCTCTGGGTCAACGGCTGTAAACATTTGTTTCCACATAATTCCAAATCAGTTTCCAGGTTGTTGCACCAATTTACAACAGCGCATTAGTGCGCCCATATTACTCCAACCCCTCCAACACTAACTATTCCCATTTGTAATCTTGGTCAATGTGCTAGGTATCAGGCACAAGCTCCCTTATTTTGATTTATATTTCTCTTACTACTAGTGATTTGGAGCATTTTTCATATGGCTGTTAATAATTTGTATTACCTTTTTTTTTGGGGGGGGGTGAGGCAATTGGGGGTAAGTGACTTGTTCAGAGTCACACAGCTAGTAAGTATTATGTGTCTGAGGCTGGATTTGAACTCAGGTCCTCCTGACTCCAGGGCCAGTGCTCTATCCACTGTGCCACCTAGCTACCCCAATAATTTGTATTACTTCTTTTAAGAACTGTTCATTTGCTTGACCATTTATCTAGTAGAGAATGGCATTAGGCCATATATATTTATTTGAGATATCTATCTCAGAAATGAGATCCTTATCAGAGATATTTGATATGAATATTTTTCTCAGACTTGTTTTTAAACAAGTTCTTAATGCTTAAAAGTGGGAAATAGAAAAAAAAGTAACAACATTTATCTACCACTAATTTTTGGAGAGTTTAAACAATGTAAACCATTCCCCTCAATGAAGAGGTGGAATGAACCCAGAAACCACTTTCACTAGCAAGCATATCCTCTCTTTCCAAGTGTGGAGAGACTACAGCTATGGGAAGCCTAAGTTGGTAATATAAGCTTATTTTCAAAATATTTTGGAGGACTATGGAAGACT